TACTTTGTTTTGGGTGTTTTGTTTGTTTGTCTGTTTGTTTTGAGACAGAGTCTCGCTCTGTCACCCAGGCTGGAGTGCAGTGGTGCGATCTCGGCTTACTGTAACTTCCGCCTCCCGAGTTCAAGCAATTCTCCTGCCTCAGCCTCCTGAGTAGCTAGGACTACAGGCGCCCACCACCACGCCAGGCTAATTTTTGTATTTTCAGTAGAGACAGGGTTTCTCTATGTTGGTCAGGCTGGTCTCGAACTCCTGACCTCAGGTGATCCACCTGCCTCGGCCTCCCAAAGTGCTGGGATTATAGGCATGAGCCACGGTGCCTGGCCTGTTTTGCTTTTGAGATAGGATTGTTACTCTGTCACCCAGGCTGAGTGCAGTGGCACAATGATGGCTCGCTGCAGCCTTGATTTCTGTCTCAGGTGACCCTTCCACCTCAGCCTCCCAAGTAGCTGGGACTGTAAGTGCGCACCACCATGTCTGGCTGATTTTTTTTGGTACTTTTTAGTAGAGACAGGGTTTCACCATGTTGGCCAGGCTGGTCTCAAACTCCCGGCTCAACTGATTTGCCTGCCTCAGCCTCCCAAAGTGCTAGGATTACAGGCATAAGCCGCTGGGCCTGTACTTACTTTGTAAGGATGTTGAGAGACTTGATGATAATGTATGCAATGCACCTAGTCCCCATTCCATCTGTTTTTGGTACGTACTAGGTGCTCAATAAATACTATTATTATTGTTGTTATTATTACTTAGAGACATAGAGACGGCAGAGTATATTGAAACAGAGAGCTAGAAAGAAGAATGCTTGGCCTGGTGTGGTGGCTCACACCTGTAATCCCAGCATTTTGGGAGGCCAAGGCGGGAAGATCACAAGGTCAAGAGATCGAGACCATCCTGGCCAACATGGTGAAACCATGTCTGTACTAAAAATACAAAAATTGGCCTGGCATGGTGACTCACACCTGTAATCCCAGCACTTTGGGAGGCCAAGGTGGGCGGACAACCTGAGGTCAGGAGTTCGAGACCAGCCTGACCAACATGGAGAAACCCTGTGTCTACTGAAAATACAAAAAAAATTAGCCAGGCGTGGTGGCACATGCCTATAATCCCAGCTACTCAGGAGGCTAAGGCAGGAGAATCGCTTGAACCTGGGAGGCAGAGGTTGCAGTGAGCCGAGATCACGCCACTGCACTCCAGCCTGGGCAACAGAGCGAGACTCTGTGGCAAAAAACAAGCAAAAAAAATTAGCTGGGCGTGGTGGCGCATGCCTGTAGTCCCAGCTGCTTAGGAGGCTGAGGTGGACAATCACTTGAACCGAGGAGGCGGAGGTTGCAGTGAGCCGAGAGCATACCACTGCACTCCAGCCTGGCGACAGAACAAGACTCTGTAAAGAAAGAAGGAGAGAAGGCGAGAAGGAGAGAGAGAGAGAGAGAGAAAGAGAGAGAGAATGATGGTGACCTACTGTTTTCTCTTAAAGAGAGAGAGAGAATAAATAACTCATGGGCTGACACTAACATAACTATGATGGGAACAGTTACACACAACTTCTGATGGAAAAGTGTGTATGCAATCAGAGCAAGAAGAGCAAGAAGAAATGAGTGCTTTTCTGTCCTTTGAGACCCTGATGAGCCCTGATAAAGTTCTCCTCTTCAAGGAGAAGAAAGGGATAGAATGGCCTCTGGAAATTTAAAGCAAGGGTTAGCAAACTATAGCCTCTGGGACAAATCTGTCCTGCTATCTTTTTT